AGGCCAGGGGAGGGCATAGCGAGCGAGAGATGCGGTGGCCATCGGTCTCACAAAACAATAGAGGATCACACCACTTTTTCCCGTTTTTCTCTCTCTCTCTTTCTGTCAGCACTCCTTAGATGGCCTAACCCCCCCCCCCCCCCCCCCCCCCTCTTTCTTTTATGTTGACAGTTCACGGTTAACTGAGGGGTGGACCCGACTACCACGACCAGACAACTAAACCAAAATAATTATTGTCCGCACCCTCGAAGACGATGCTCTTAGCCTCGCGCCGGGCACTTTTCACTCGTAAAGAGCGTGCTAGAATTCAGTAGCGCACATCAAACCCGCAAAACAAATAGAGAGAAAAAAAAAACAAAGAGGATTCGACCCTTTCGCGCGAGGCTACATCGTCTGTTACGCGAGTTGTGAACCCGGAGTTGACCCCAGTGGAAGGCTCGGCTCGTTCGAAGTAGCTCGTTGAGCGATTTGGCAAGGTTAGAAAATCCTACTATAAATTTTCGAAAATAGGTGCAGCGGCCAAGGAAACCGCGAGCGTCTTTTAAGTTCTTAGGCACAAGAAATTGGAAGACGGCATGCATCTTGTCGGGGTCAGGGCGAATTCCGTCGACACTGACCAGGTGGCCAAGTATTTTGATTTGCCGCGCTTCCGAATTTGCTCTTCTTGGAGTTTAGCTGTAGCTTAGCTGCATGGAAACAATCGAAAACTAGGCGCAGTCGGCGTATAGGCTCGTCAAATATCGCTGGAAAGACAACAACGTCCTCCAGATAGCATAAACAAATGTTCCACGTAAGGCCCCTAAGCAAAGTGTCCATCATTCGTTCAAATGTTGCGGGGGCATTGCATAGTCCAAATGGCATTACGTTGAATTGGTAAAGGCCATCAGGAGTAATAAATGCTGTTTTTGGTTTGGCGTCATCGGAGAGAGGTATTTGCAAGTAGCCGCTGCGTAAGTTCATAGAAGAGAAAAAGGATGAGCCCTGAAGCGTGTCTAAGGTGTCCTCAATTCGAGGTAACGGGTAGACGTCTTTTTTGGTGACTCTGTTTAAGCGGCGGTAGTCAAGGCGAATTCGCCATGAACCGTCATTTTTTTTTTCACGAGGACTACAGGTGACGACCAAGGGCTGGATGGAGGCTCGATTATGTTTTTCTTGAGCATGTCAGCGACGTTTTCTTGTAGCGTTCGGCGTTCCGCTGGTGAAATTCTGTAAGCTCGACTTTTCCCTGGAGTTGCCGTACCAGTGTCGACGCTGTAGTTCACAGTCGTTGTCTTCGTGAGGGCACGTCGGTCACAATCAAATAAATCACTGTACGCGGTTAGCAGAGTGGAAAGAGCCTGGTGCTCTGTGTTGGCCAGGGAAGGGTCGATCATCTGAACAGTCTCGCAGCTTGAAGGAGTGGCAGAAGGTGCCCGCGAAGGGGTGTTGAGAGCTCCCGGAGATAAGGCGGCAAGTGTATGCTCGTCATACGTTTGAAAGGTGGCGACACGAGATCCCCGAGGTAGCGTTATAGCACTTCCGCTGAAGGGATTATAATGCACAACTGGACTCATACTACTTTCTGTATGGCAATCGAGTAGGGTGCAAGAGCGGCTTTTGTTTCAAAGCTGGTGAGAAGGGGCTCGACAAGGCCGCCGGAACCGCTAAAGAGCGCCTCGGGCACGAGGTCGACAAACACTGCAATCAACAGAGGCAAGGATACGTCTTCTTTGACACGAAGGACAACCGGAAACGAATCCGAAGAAGTGGCATCTTTGTTGTAAATGATCAGATGAAGCTCGCGACTTCCGCACTCAATAAAATCATCGGTAGCTGTCAGAAAGTCACACCCCAGGATTACGTCAGGGACACAGTTCGACAACACTGTGAAGATGACTGTGTATCGACTACCCCGAAGAAGCACTGAAAGGGTTGAATAGCCGAGGGGTCGGATCAGTTCCCCGTTACCCATCCTTAACAAGCGTCTGTCAGCAGGCGTGAGCACTTTTCGTAGAAGACGACGAATATTTTCGGCAATACATGATTTGGCGGCCCCTGTATCCACTAGGGCTGTAAACGTCTTTCCGTCAATTTTAACTTGTACAGTCGCTGGGTTGTTAGGAGGTTTTTTGTCGAGATTGGAGAGTGGAGTCTGACCTCCGGTGTCCGCACAGACTGCAGTCTTTAGTTTGACGTCTCGGTGATTTCGGCAATGGCGTTAAGGGGCAACACAGAGCGCGGGCGGCGAGGGTAGGGCGATGGTGATCGGCCACGGCAATTGGTGATCGGCGAAGAAGGACGAGGGCCGGGTCGATCGTCAAAAGTGTGCGCCTCGTTCCGGAAGGTGCGGGGAATGCCCGTCGCTAAGGGTCGGTAGACTGTAGTGTCTATTACGTGGCGGCAGTAGCTTGCGATATGGCCCGGTGTGTGGCAATGGTAACAGATGGGGGTTATCTTTGGTTCGCCAGGTTTCAGTTCGACGACGTGGCCCACAAGGCCGGGAAGATTGGGGCGTCTGTTGAATCGCAGGACTGTAATAGCGGGGGTATGAGTCTTAGGGTATTGAACTAATAAGCGGAGGCTCCGATGGCACTGGCGGGCAAGCGGCAGTTGGTAGGGCAAGGTGACCTAACGCATCGCGGATTTCTTGTTGGACAACTTGCTGCATAGATTTCACCTGTGCTATTTCTTGGGGAACAGCAGCGGCTGGTGCGAAATGAGCGAGGTAAGGACGTAGTTCATCGCTGATGATTGTCCTGATCAATGTACCTGTGTTGGTACTAAAGGCGGTGGCAAGACACACCTGGGGAAGACGCTCGAAAGTTGTCTTAGCAATTCGGGCACTCTGCAGCTCTTCATACTTTTTGCGTTCGTCAATGAGCTGCTGTACTGTTGGTGGGGATTTCGACGCAACGACAGTTCCTGCGACAGCCCTTTAAAAAGGTGTCGAATGCGGTCATCTTCTGGCACGTCCCACGAGGTAATTTTTTCTTCATTATTCTCAAACCCTTTTACAGCGGTGTCTTTGAGGAAGAAAACACGCTCGCGAGCTTGAAAGAGTCATCCCAACGGTCGTGGAGACTTGCCCGTTCGTAGGTCTTGAGCCAGTTGTGGACATCGGAATCTGGTGTGCCAGCAAAAAGTGGCGGGTGCCGCTGCCGGTTCTTGACGGTTGGTGGTGTGGTGGCTGGAGTGGCAGTTGGTGAGCAGACGGTGACGCCGGTTTGGGCTTCTTCAGCCATAGTGGTGATCTTGCAAGCGCTACGGAGTTCCAGACCGATGTGGTGGGAGAGTTGGAGGGGAGCGAGAGGTTGGGGAACTAGAGCACCTCTTCCACTTGCAAGGGTGAGAAATGGGGATGACTTAAGAGACAGCGAGGGAGCGACAGATATCGCGAACCGTTCGTAAGCACACAGCGCCGCCTCTCCAGCTGCTCGCACGTTCCGCCGTACCCAACCGTTCCTCGTCTTTATCTTCCTAACAATATACATGAAATCTTGGAAGCCTTCACTGCTTTACAAGCCTTATCTTTTTATGACACACTCTGAAAAAAAAAAAAGACTTCGGCATGATGACTGCGTTAGGACATTTTCAGTGTTGAGCTTAAGATTATAGAATTCCCTTCAGTGTCTAAGACGATGGTGCGGAGAAGCTTCTGTTTACGCTCCCGCTCTAATAACAAGAGCAGGTATACCTTCCTCGGCAAGGTACGCGGTATGAATATGGTACACAGTCAATACCTGCGCTAAAAGAGCAAATTGCAATAACCACTAATAAATGGCTGCACCACGTTCTTTGCCATTTTGAACGTCTGCCATCAAAGTCAACGGAGCAAACGAGCTTTGACGGCTGTCGCCGCAGAAAGCAGACGACAAGCAGACGGCGTGACGTATTTACTCGATTTGATTCGACATTACCCTCAATTTGAGGAAGGTAGCGTGAGTAATTACTCCGCGGTAAACTACCCGCTTTTGGAACGCGATTTCTGACGTCATCGAGTAAGTTCGAGTAAGTTTCGGGACGCCAAGGTACGAAACCTTTAGTCCGGAGTCGGATCGAGTAAATTTTGGAGCACAGCCATTGAAGTGACTGGGATGGGTGGTGCCTAGGGCAGGGTTTTTTATGGAAAGAGATTTCGCCACACAATCGTCTCTTTGTGAAGCTGTCTCTTCCACTCCTTGTTCCTCGCGCTCTTTCTACACCACCTGTTTCTGCACCTGTTATTTGTCCTTTCCAGCACTCGGCTCTGCGCGCTTTCTCACACCACTTGCTTCTCTTCACGCCGTTGCTGCGTGCTGGGTCCGTAGCTCAGTCAGCGGCGCACTCGGCTTCCACGCCGCTGACAGGGTTTGATCTGTCACAGGTTATCTCTTTTTCAAGGCCGTTCAGCGGTTATGAACTGAGCAACCTACACGCTTCGTGCTTACGCGACGGTTCCTGAGGTTGTTTGACCATATAAAGCTACTGGTTTAATAAATGATACTCTACGCCCCGGGGTATTTAGCGCGGTCTTAATTAGATATGCCGTGTCTCTTTTGCGGAAAGAGCGGCCCAGGCGCAGAGGAGCATATGAGTAAGTCGCTGCCAGTTTGAGGAACGCGGGGCCCGGAGAAACATTGCGTTATCGCTGCGCACCCAATCAAGTTGCACCGTCAGCCAATACAAACACCGAAGGAAAGAAATCGAGAAGCGTGAGCATATTAAGCAACGCTCTCCGTGTTTTTAGACTGACCCTAGAAGACATATCTCGAATGACGCTCAAGGGGATAAGCGCAAATTATAAGCAGAGCCATGATCCACTCCACAGTCTTGTGAGTGGAAGAACAGTCATTTGCTATCAGCGTAGAAGACGGGTCAAAACGTATAGAAAAGAGGTTTTGAATAGGAGTGGGACGCGCTGGGGATCACGTGTTCTTTCTTGCCGATAAAATTAGAGCCCCTACAGTGATACGTCATGTACCTCTTTGGTGAACCTTTGTGCGGTATGCAAAGTGTGATGTACTACGTAAGCATTATCTTACTTGGGCAGTTGCTGAAATTCGGGACAAAGCAACTTGACCACCTGACCGTGGTATCCTTCCGTCGTTTTCTGGCATTCCTCTAGGACGTGAGTGACTGGAATCGAAGTCTGCGAGGGGAAGAAGAAAACAGGAGCAAAAACTGAAATGATGAAAATGCCATTAAATCGGGAACTTCAAATTCTTTCTTATTTCGATACCTTCACTGAGATTCGGAAGTCCGTGACATGCTTTAAAAGCAATCAATGAAAAGAACACGCCCTCTTCAATTTTTTTACGTAAAATTCTGTCTGAGTTTCAATAAACGTTTTTAGCGATTTTTTTTTTTATTTTGAGAGAACGTCTATTTAACTACTCTGGCTTTTGCCTCCACCACAAGTTGGGTATTTAGATTGATGTACTTTTGAGTGGCATTTGCGTGGTTTGTACGGGTTAGCCGCATATAGGGTTGCCCTTTCTGCAGACTGCATATCGCCGCGAGCGCAGCTATCCAAGCAGGCAGCGCACCTTTGGCCGAATGGTTATCGTGCTTGGCTTCCGCGCAAGGGGACGAGGTTCGGTGCCTGCAACGGATGCACCCCTTTTTGTTACTTTTTTGTAAATGTCGCTTTCATGGTAATTCGAAACCCTATTGCTTGTGCGAGGTCCGAATGCTCTACGCGCCGAATTTCATATGCCGATTGTTCTGACATTCCACGCGTCTACATAAGTGACTCCGTATGGAGAACCGGAGTCAGTCTCGCTTGCTGTTACGCCGCCACCGACGTCTGCGACGCTAGCCTTTTTTTTGTTTTAGGCACAAGCTCGGCCCATTAAACACTTAGTTTTCGTCAGTCATTCGTCGCCTCATCATTTGTCATTCGTGATATTTTGGTGGAGGCGCGGGGTATAGCATTCTATGCCCGTGAAGCGTACCCCTCTGACGACACGCAGGCGCCCCAGAAGACTACTCTTTGCAGAAAACACCGACACCCGACCAAGCCGCCGTACCAAAGCCTACCCCCCGGACTTCGGACCCCTGCTGCAGAAACCAAAGAAGAAGACTGTGACGATGAATATACTACCCGTCGTCATCCTGCCCGTTACTCCCTGGATTCCAACGCCATTTAACGGCGAAGCCCACAAGGATGTAAAGAACTGGCTTCAGTATTATAAACGTGCAGCCCGCCACAACGAATTGACGACCAAGCGGCGCCTCCAGAACCTCTAATTTTCGCTTGAAGACACTGCGAGACACTGGTTCGAGAACCATGAAGCCTCCTTTGCTTTGTAGGAGTCATGCGCCGCCGAATTGAAGCGGATGTTCATCAACCACCACCGTCGGCAGCGAGCGAAGAACCATTTTCAAAACAAGGAACAAGGGTGCAGTGCCCCAACGAAACCGTGACAAGCTTTGTTGAAGATGTCCTGGGCCTAAGTATCGGAGCCGACCCGGTGGCCACTGAGGAGAAGAAACTTTGCACCCTCATGCGTGGCGTGAAGAGTGAAATTTTTCGAAGGCCTAATCTGCAATCCCCCAACGACTGTCAATGGTTTTGTAACCTGAGCCACCAATATCGAACGTGCACTCACGGCCCGAGCAAGCCACTACCACTGATTCGCCGGCGCGCCTACTGCTCCAACTGTCGCAGCTTTCTGACTAGACCTGAACACCACCGGTGCCGTCAACCTTCGGCAGATCGTCCGCGATATCGTCCAGGAAGAGCTACGCAAGATCCTACCTGCTGCAGATGGCCCGTCCTCACTCCAACTCGCCAAGGTCATCCGAGAGGAGTTACACCAAGCCTTCCAACCCGAGGCACCCGTCACTATAGCAGCACCGGAGGAGCCCGCTCTAAGTTACGTCGCAATGGTCCGACAAGCACCACCAGTCTCGCGTCCGTACGGCCTCCCTCCTCCCCGACGTGAAACTGCAGCGCCGCAGTATCCCCGACGCCAGGAACATCGTGCACACGTTTGCCCAGAAGAAGCTGCGGCAACGAAGACCGATGTCTGGCCGACGGCCGAGAGGCGGCCGGTGTGCTACCATTGCGGAGAGGCAGACCACATCTACCGGCGTTGTCCTTACCGCAAACTTGACTTTACGGGTTCATGCCGAACGACCCGCGTCCAAGGTACGGCGAGCTTCCACGTGAAATTGAAAAGTATTCACGACTCCCATCATCCTCGGTGCCGACACCACATCGAGGATCTTGTTCCCCATCACCCCGACATCATCCTTCGCCCCTTCACCACTCTCGCCGGGACAGCCTGCCCCTCTGTGTCTTGTCAGGGAAACTAAGCGCGCAAACCATGGAGGTGGAGTTGCTGTAAACCGACGACATAAAAAGTCTCCCAGAACGCTTAGGACCGCCCACTCGACCGACGCCATGCATCCATGCATCGGAGCGACGCTTCTGCTATGGTGCCCAACATCCTCAACGTGATCATCTCCAGCCACGACGCGTCGGCACTCGTGGGCACTAAAGCAGACAACTCCGTCTTGAATGGCAGGCTTTCACTTTGTCTTCGGAAAGTGACGATGCCGTGGGATGGCCTGAAAATACGAACCCGCGGAGGCCACCTAGTTACGCCGACTGGAATGTGCACTGCACAAGTTGAGAACCATGGTGAGACCTGCCCCGTAAAGATCATTGTTCTGCAAGACTGGGCGAGGGACATTATCCTCGAAAGTGATCTTTTATGTCAATAATCCAGCCGTCATCAATCTGGGAGCCAACCGGTGGACTCTACGAAATCCTGTTTCAACGCTAAGTCATTTGCGGTCTGTGTCCTCGCAAAACAACGTGAGCTTACAGGAGCTGTCGCGTGTTTTTGCACCTGTCGGGACCGATGACGCTACCTGCGGCGAAGTTATGCTCGAGGGAAGCGTCCAGTTGTTTTTAGAAAGAGAAATTTGTGTCGAAGGAGGAATAACGAAATTTCAAGACGGAAGCGCCATGGTCCTGGATACAAATTTACGACAAGAGCCGCGTCACCTTACAAAAGGTATCGCCGTGGACCACATCAACGAACTCCGGAACTCGTCCGCGATCGCTGCACTTTCAGAAGAGCCAACTTCATTGTAGCACAAGAGAACGCCACCCTCGGAACTTGACATCGACCCAATGCTTCCGGCTACAGGGCGAGGACGGCTGCTCGACCTGAGCGAGTTTGGCTAGCGTTTCGCCACTACGTCAAAGGTGCGACGTACAAGGGTAGCGAAATACCGCACCGTTACTGACGACGTCGCGCTATTTGTTCAGCAGTCGCCGTACTGAGTCTCCTTGAACGAAAGAGAGGTGGTTCGAGATCAAGTCCACGAAATGCTTGGCGACGACATCACTCATCCTCCAAGAAGTCCGTGGTCGTCCCCAGTCGTCCTTGTAAAGAAAAAGGCGGGGCCGTGAGGTTCTGCGTGGACCATTGTCGACTTAACACTGTGAATAAAAAGAATGTTTATCCGCACCCTCGCATAGACTATATGTTACGCCGGCTCTGCCACTCTGATATTTTTCGTCGATGGACCTAAAGAGTGGCTACTGGCAGATTGAAGCCGACGAGTGCGACCGCGAAAAAACTGCCCTCGCCACGCCCGACGGAATGTACAAGTTCAGACTGATGCCGTTCAAACATTGTACAGCACAAGCCACCTGCCAGCGGGTCATGGACAGTGTGCTGGAAGATCTGAAATGGCAGAGCTGCCTTGTCTACCTCAACGATGTCGTAGTACTTTCACAGGACAGGCCGGTGGCCATCAAGGCCGCCGGCCTGTCACAGAGGCCTACAAAGTGTCGCTCCGGCTATGGTGGCCTAAAGTTACTTGGACAACTTTGTGAGCAACGATGGTGTTCGCCCTGACCTCGAGAGGAAGTGCGCCGTAGCCATATTTCCGCCGCCATTTGAAAAGAAGGCGGTAAGAAGATTTCTGAGATTTTGTGCCTACTACTGCTTGTTCGAGACTTCGCCAAGCTGTCCGCACCACTGACGCACCTCATTAAGGACGCCATAAAGTTTGTGAGGATATTGTGAGATTGAAAAAGGAAGAAAGGGGAAGAAGATGACGTAAAGAAGGGCACGAGATAGTCATTACGGAACAGCCAGCGACCGGGAGCCAGGATTCGGCGCTTGGGACACGCCTCAAACCAGGACTGGGCTGCTAGGTCGTAGGCAAGAACCACCACTGGCTTCATGGCACTGGAGCAAGACCGATTCTTTATAGAAAAGTCACCGGCGTGCGAAACCTTCCGTAGTTTCAAGACCAAAAGGCAAGCAAGAACGCCCGCACCTCGTCGCTGCACCGTGATCCAGCTGCCATCTTACCATCCCCACGGCGAAACCTCGCGGTCGTCGTAGAGACGCCAACTCTACTATCTTCGAACTATTCCGTACTTTGTATAAACGCCGATTTATTGTTTAATAATGTGAAAGTAATAACTTTCTCATGGAGCCAACCGGGGTTATCAGCTTTTCAAGCCGTGCCAAACGGCACCTAAACTTTCTTGTCCGAGGGAGCGAAGCCTATGGTCAGTAGCAGCGAATTGATGGATAGCTTTCCATTGGCTGGCGCGCGTCAGTTTCAAGGAACGCCACCCTATGGCGCTGCGGCCCGCACCGGGGGATGGAACAAGGTTAACACGGTGGCGCGCGCTCGCCGGAGGCCCCGAGGGCCGAGGAAGGGGGGGGGGGGGGGGGGGGGGTGAGCGGAGCGGGTGCTCTTGGCGGCGCCGACGAACATTGCGGCGCCTGAATACTCGGACTGCAAAACTCCAAGGAGCACTCAGCGGGGTCCGATTCGACATTCATAATTTCACAGTCGCAACTCATAAAAAGTGCTTAGGTGTCCTCGGAATTTTTTTTATTTTTTTTATTTTTAGCATTTAGTTTTTTTTTTTACTTTTTATAATACAAATCGCCGATTTCCCAGGTCTCGTTTCTGGGTTTTATTAACATCTGCCCTTGAGTTTCGAGCCTTCACATTGCAATGGCAATGGTGTCCGCGACAGGGCAATATTTGTGGAATTTCGGCAAATTGTTGGTTTAGAATATTTATTGGCTAAGAAACTCTAAGTGAGCGAGAAAGAAAGTAGTGGTTGCCTCAGTGTGGATTAAAATCAAATAATGCTTCTAG